GGTGAGCATTGTATGGGGGAAAGGGCATGCCTCCAATCCTGGCTTGGGTGAGGCAAAGTCATAACATGTAACCACAATGTTTGTACCCCCATAATATCCTGAAATAAAAAAAAAAGTTCTATAAATGGAATCATATAGTATGTAACCTTTTGGGATTGGCTTTTTTCACTCAGAGTAATTCCTGGAAGATAAATCCAAGTTGTGCATATCACTTAATGAGTCCCATTTTTAATTTAGCCGAGGAATGTTTTATGGAATTTTTGGACTCTGAATTCACTTTGTAAATATCAATTTCTCTTCTTGGATTAACGTATACCCTGAGTACTGGATAATAGCATGGATTTTAAAGTCTGATTTGGGAGTAAGTTCCATTTCTACTTTGGAAAAGTTATTTTAAGGTTGCTAAACCTTAATTTCCTTGTATGCAGTATGAAGATAATAATACCTTATTCATAGAATACTTTTAAAGAGTAACTGAGATAACATAAAAATCTTAGCACCACGCCCATCACATAAGTGTTCCATTATTGACAGCCTAAAGGAAAGATATGAAAGATATGGGTTACTACAGCAATGCGTGTATTATTACAGTTTGCGACTTCTGGGTTAGTTTGGGAAGAGATTCCTTTAATATGCCATTGTTTCCTTGGATTTCATTTATGTTTAGGCAGATAAAAGAATTGATTATCTTTCTTTTTGAACGCTAAACAAGAAAGTTTAGTTTTTCAGAATGAGTATATCTGATCTTTCTATTTTGTATTTCATTGACCATAGTAAAAAGTAAGTGACTGCTTTAATGTTATATATCTTAATCAGCAAATACTTGGCTAACTTGAATCAATAAATTATCTTTTTATCTAATAGATTTGTTAAGGTTGAAACATCAGTAATTTACGTATTTTAAATTTTATATATGCATTCTAGGTTGCTGGAGTTCTGGATGATTGCTTGTGTGATATTGACAGCATCGATAACTTTAATAACTACAAAATCTTCCCCAAAATAAAAAAATTGCAAGAGCGGGACTATTTCCGTTATTACAAGGTAGGTTATAATTTTTTATTCTGTTGATACCAAAGATTTCTATGTAGCTGTCTGCAGATGTGACTTTTATCACCCTTTTGAAAACCCATTTCAACTCCTCTCAGCACAGTATGTATAGCTTTTATCATTTGAATGTATTAAGCATTGTAATGAAAACCTGCCAGTCTTTTTAACACTAAGAATCTGAACTCCCTTCCTATGTTAGAATTCCTCATCTTTCAGTTTGGGTTTTGAGACAGAGACTCCTCCCTCTATGGAAGCTGAAAATGCCAGGGACTTATTTTGTCAGCCTTGTATAGTAGGTTCTGCCATCTGGACACACCAAACCAGGCTTTGAGTTGTGCTGATGGCAGTGTGCTAGCATCATTAGCAGTACAAAGTACCACAGCAGCAAACATTTGTTGAGTGGTTCTCTGCGAGGGCTGGCAAACCAGGCTGAGGCTACAAGTAGAGCACCACCTATAGTAATATTGCAGAATTGGTTATTTAATCTAATAATAGTCTACTCTAGACCTTT